AGCCAAATGGAGTTTGGCACTATTTCAATATACTGGTGGTTTAACGCGAGAATATGGATACTCTACCAGCTAACATGGTGTGGAACTTGGGCTTAGACCTAAGCCGAATGCAAAACAAGGACAAGCATGCAAGTAAGAGTTAAACTATGCTTTAGATTAGTCAACTATACCTAACCTACCCACTATCCTTATTATATATTTAGAACCCCATAGCCCTACCCCCCTTCCCCCCCACCCCTTACCTTTGGGTTTTCACCCTTAGCCACCTTTAGTACTAAGAGTTAATCTTTAGGATTAATTCAAAATTTATTAAATATAGAATGGCATTAGATTGTGAATTTGGACATGGGATGATCACCATTGTATTTAGGACAATCTCTACATTCCGTAGATATGCTAAATTAACAAATCTAAACATTTTCCATAAATAGTAATTGAGACCGAATGAAACTAACACAAGGGCTATGATAATTAAGGTGTTTGGCAAACACGGTAAATTGCAATATTAAAGGATTAATTTTAATATGCGGGGGCATCTCTTGAGTAATTCTTTATAGTTATTTATAATCCACTATGCTTATTTGCAAGTTCACATCCTTGCGAATGGAAGTTGAAAGTTATATCTCTCCTAAAACCCCACTCTCTTAATGCCTTACCCCTTGGGTCAATCTCAACCAAAGGAAAATTAAACTTTTCAAATATCAATCTCAATATATAGTGTAATTCCCTTAGCCAATTAATAGAGTTAAATTGAAATCATTCCAATACCAAATGTAAGCTCTTGAATTTGGTATTTCCAGATATCCCAAGGCCCTTAACTGATTGAAAAAGAGGGTCTAACTCCCTTCCCCCCCATTTAGCTCTTTGTAAGCCATTAAATTTTCCATTCTACTTTAGTTACTTAACCACAACTTTAACTACTTGGAGGAATTTCACTCACAACCTCCATAAATTTTATTCTTGATTTGGGGACATATTAGCCTTGTAAATGGCTTTTATATCACTTATCCTTTGCATTTAGTCCAAGTGCTTTATGTGTCCAATCCCATGACTAACACCCAAAAGTACCATTGACATATTAGCCCATTATACTTAGGTTATTCCCTTCACACTTGTCACTTCGGTGGTCCAAGACCACCTACATCACAATATTGTCTCTTAAAGACTAGGCCATCCTTTCATGAATGGTCATCCCTTGACTACACCTTACCACCTTTAGGGTGCCTAGAAATAAAGGGAACACCCTTCCCTAATGTCCCTTTTTCAATCCCCACCAAATCCCTTTTCATTCATGGTTGTGTTTGCCAATATTGCCACTGAATCAAGGCTTAAAGGCCCACTAACTTTTGGGACTTCCTCACCATGTGACCATATTCTTGGTCACCATACTAAAGGTCTACTTTCCATAGTTTGGGATTCTAAAATGATATTTCGAAACACTATACTCTTATGCAAGCCTTATAAGTACTCTCCCCACCTTCCATTTTTGTGTGCCCTAGCCATGATGTTAGAGCAAGGTTCCAATAAGCCACACTAAGTATCCAAGTAGGTAGTGCCACTCACACTTGCATTGGGAGCATCGACCATTTGATCTCCCGAAGGAGCTAGAGCTAACATTTGAACACTTCACCAAGCTACTTTATTTATTCGTTTGTATGCACTCTAGCTTTAGACTCCTCAATGGTTATATTGTCACTTAACACATAGGTATAACCTTCTTGAGTTATAATAGTCTTTCTTGGCTAAACTAATTCCACTACCCCCACACTCTCCCTACTATACTTTTGGAACCCCTTGCACCCACCCCCACCCCCCCTCTCTAGGCTTTCACCCTTGACTTATATTAGTCTTTGGACTCAAACTTGCTCTCAGTCTCGGTTTTGGTTTTGCCCTTGATTTCAGACTTGGTCTCAATCTCTATCTTGGACTTGACCTTAGGCTTCATCTTGGACTTCATCTCGAACTCAATCCTGACACTTGCCATGTGTCAATCCTTCTTGTTTCCCTTTTTAGAGATGCATTCATTAATCACTTCATACTCATTTTTTGAGCACTTCATTCATAATTCATTTCGATATCACTCATTCATTTCAATCACTTCGTTTGTAGTGTCTATTTATATTCACTCTAACTTTAGACTCCTCAATGGTTATATTATCACCTAACACATGGGTATAGCCTTCCTTGGTAACATTAGCCTTTTTTGGCCAAATTGGCTCCACTGGAGTTTTCCCTTTATTGTACTTTTAGAGCTCACCAAATCTGGGAGACAATCGCTTTAGGCTTTCACCCTTGGACTCGAACTTGGACTTGGACTCAGACTTGGACTCGGACTCGGACTTAGTCTCGGTCTTAGTCTCGGTCTTAGTCTTGGTCTCGGACTCCATCTCGGTCTCGGTCTCGATCTTGATCTCAGTCTCAATCTCAAACTCCATCTCATGTCCATCTCAGATTCGACCTCAGAATCCATCTTGGGTCTATCTCGGACTTCATCTCAAGTCCATCTCGGGTCCATATTAGATTCCATCTCAGGTCCATCTCGGGTCCATCTCGGAGTCTATCTCAAGTCCACCTCGGGTTCATATGAGACTCCATCTCGAACTTCATCTTGGGTCCATCTTAAACTCCATCTTGGCTTCCATCTTGGGTTTATATTGAGTCCATCTCACGTCCATATCAAACTCTATTTTAGACTTTATCTTGGGTCTATATTGGACTTTATCTTGAACTCCTTCTTGGACTTCTTTTTGGACTCATTCCTAACACTTCCATATGTCAGTCCTTTTTGTGTCCTTTTTTAGAGATTCATTCATCAATTGCTTCGTGCTCATCCTTTGAGCACGAGTTCCACTCCCACTCTCAATTTTCTAAATCGGAGCTTTTGATCCAAACATGTTACGCTTGTTAGACTTCTACTTTGACCACTACCATATAACACCCTTTCTGCTCCACTTTGGGGTTTAGGGATTTGTGCCTCACACTTATATACAAAAGCAAGTGGTCTAAATTGAAATCAATATGATAGCTGCCAAAATCCCATTACATTAATAATAGTATACAATATCATAGTTATACATCTGGACTTTACATCTGTACACTAGGACTTTATAAATTGTAATTTATACCTTATCTATTTGTAAATATAGGCATATAGTCAATATTCTCAACCTAATAAATGTTAAAATCTCATCAAAGAAATAGACTGTAATTAAATCGTAAAATAAAAGGAGCAAAGTCATATATTCTAGCTTTCTCTAGTTTACAAATCTTGTTTGCAAATCTTGCAAAATTTTATATAATACAAACTTAAGTTTTTAATTGTATATTATGATTTTTAGTTACACTACATAGCAAAATCAAGTTTAGTAATGGATAGAAATATGCTGGTTTCAAGATGAGGATTATTAATAGTGCTAAGTTAAATCAATTCAAGATTTATATTATTAAGGTATAAACTTTAGAGTGAGATCAATCAAATGGGACTTTTAAATTATTTCCCTTATTACATCTTCCATGTTTTTAACTTCTATTTCATTTCCTTCTACCTATGTTTAATTTCTTTTGTTTTTTTTTTATTTTCTGTTTTTTCAACTCTCAGTATTTCAATTCACTCTTTTGATCCTGATTATTTCCATTCATGAAAGTAAAAGTATAAAATGTCATTGAGGTATTAGTCACCATTGCTTTATATCTCAGTGTTCAATTGGAAAAGCAAAAGTAGCTTTGGTATTAGCAAAAGATGTGAGTACCTAGAACTAAAGACTAAAGGGACTAAAAGTGATAAAATTTTCAATTTGTATCCATTGCATTATGGTCTCATGCCTCCATCTTCTCATTGCATTCTTCATAAACTTCATAAACAATACTTCAGCTAAACTCACATGTCTATGTGTTCTAGGATTTTATCTTTTTTTTGTGGATGACTAATTAAGTGGCTTTTAACAAATATAATGTAGTAAAATGTGGCTTGAGGAGCTAGAGCACCAAAATCTTTTATTCTTTCTCGGCATTCATGAACTCCTCTAATTACTACAGTGCAAGCCTATCAAGTACAAGTATGAGAAAGAGATTGTCATGTATGCAAGCTTGTAAGATTTGAAGTCCTTGGCAAAGAATAATAATACATGTTTTTGAGGGTCTTGAAGCGTCCAACTGGATCTTAAAGTTTATGGATGTGTGAATCTCAATTGGTGACAAAGCATTTGGTTTTGCATTAACTAGACAAAAAAAATGAACTTGAAGTGAACTGATAATTTATGACATGATACAATACGAATAATTACATACATTATTGTGTTTACAACCACTTGTGCCCTTAAAATCTTGTGAAATGACCAGCTTGAGAAGAAATTCCTTCTCTTTTTCCACCTTGCTCTTCTTGCTTGAAAAGGAATCCAAAAGCAAGGTTTCTAGATAGCAGTGCTAGATTATGCATTCATTCTTGAGGTGCAAGATGATGTATAACAAAGGAATTTGAGAACAATAAAATGAAGTTTTGAGTGAAGAAAACGTTGTTCAGCTTCGAGACCATTTTAAACCTTTACTTCCGGATTTTTCTACTACGGGAGTTGACACTGGGGCGTTTGGCACATGCATGCACGAGCGATTGTTAAAAATTAATACTTTTCTGGGTGGAATTATGATCCAGTCAATGTTCTTGGGCGGAAGAAGTAAGAACCCTAAAATTGGATCAAAGGTGGCGGCATTACCTTAACATCGTGTCGAGCAGCCAACCGCATCCTAACTACAAACAAGAAATATTCCCTGACGACCCACGTGACACCATCCATTTGGGTGAGACGCGGACAGAATATGCCCCAAGCTTGGCACCGGCATCTCGTTTCGATACCCATCGGACGTAGATGATGGCGACACGTCACTTGGCACTTTCCGCGTAAGACTTTTACTGCCCTGGGCTAGATCAGACGGTTGGTTATGGATAGCGTGGACGGATCTGGGCCACTGAAAATCTTGACGGCCTCTCTGACGTGGCTCAAACTGCTCGGTCGGATGCATGTAATAGACGGGCGAGATTAACTCCTTCCCGTCAATAGCTTACATTTTGCTTTAGCCAAGAGAAAGAGAGAACATTTTGTGATAGCGCCATAGCCAGCCGGCCCCCCCCCCGACTACGCAAGCATAGAGAGCAAGGGATCTAGAGCATAGCTTAGGGCAGTGATAATCTCCATCACGGCGGCTCCTTGGAGGGGTGTTGTGTGAGCGACAGATCGATCGCGCAAAAGCTGCGGGAGGGTTGGGCTCCAATCCGGCCTCCTCGATGCATCTCGGGGGATTCCAGCGGCCAGGTAAGCGGTATTTGGAGTGAATTTGCGAGTGTTTTGTGCATCCTTGCGCCGCATTCGCGCTTTCCTGGCGTGCCTGGGAGGATTTAGGTCGTGGCAGGAGCTGCATTCTTGATTCTATTGCCCTTGCATGGAGTAGATCTTTGGGATTTGGAGTAACAGGCATTTTTCTTCCAGGAGATTCTGTGCCAGGAGCCAGGAGCATCGATTTCAAGCAGGGCTGAGTGGATTTCCTTCTCCCCGAGCACGGAAGCTAGACCGTCTTGACGGATTCCCAGGTGTTAAACGAAGGAATAGAGTTTTTTAGAGTAGAACAGGAAATAAACAGGAAGAACAGGGAAGAACAGGGAAGAGACACAAGGGGGAGGGGGAATGGAGGGGCTGGGCGATGGGTATGAGGCATTTGTAGAGCGGCTCCAGTCGGATTTCGCCAAGAACTCTGCGAATGGGAATTCTGGGTCATCACTGCCGTCTCACTCGCGCTATGTGGGCTACCCATCTTCAAACAATCATGGCTTCTCGGTCAAGCAGGAGGCCTCGCCGACGCTCTCGGACTCCTCGCTCGTGTCCGTGTCCAAAGACGTAACCATGCACGACGCTGTGACTTCTCCCGGCAACTCGAGCGTGAGTGGTCCTCTTAAAGCTCCAAGCCCGGCTCACAGCTTCAGCACGGATGTGAACCGTATGCCGGACGCTCCACCTCGGCCTCGCGGCCATCGCCGCGCTCAGTCGGAGATCACGTTTTGTCTGCCCGACGATGCGTCCTTCGAGCGAGAGCTTGGACTCCAGAGCCCGGCAATGCCTGCGCTCTCGGACGAGGCCGGGGAGGATCTCTTCAACATGTACATCGACATGGAGAAGATCA